GTGAATATGTCACTATATATATTTTTATGGTAGGAAACGCTTCCTTCTGCCTGTTACATACTTTTCAACGAGTATTGACGAAAACGAAAGGAGAACCACGTGGAAGAGGAGGAGAGATTACCGACGCAAAAGACGGAAAATCAATTTAAATTCAGCTAAAACTTACTTTCGTATTGATTTCAAATAAAAATGATTAAAAAACAACAATTGGTCATATCAATGTATTGCCAGTTGAAAGCTTGAAAATATAGAAAAGGGCCAAAGGTTTTCATTATTGACGCAATGGCTTTAATAGATAATTTTTTATTTTGTAGGTAATAAGACCTGTTTATTCAAGTACTTTGACAGTGATTATATCAGTGAACCTTGTGAGGAGTCGAAAACTCCACACAAATGCAGATCTCAACTGCGGAAGGCGGTTCTGAATATTGCAACTACGTAACAAATCAGAGCGTAGTAACGGCATTGCGAAACGGAAAGCTTGGAGAACGAGAGTTTGGAGAAACGGAATCCGTAGAAAGTTTGGGAGAAACGGAATCTGTGGAAAAAAGTTTGGAGAAAAAGAGTTGGGAGGGAGAATGTGGAGACCGAGAGTGAGATGGCACGAGTAAGAGCAGGACGACAGTAGAACAGAGTGTGTCTGCGTGCCGATTTAAAGGAAGTAAGCTGAACTTTGGACCAGGTAAACGGTACAACCGTGGACTTTTGGACCCGGAGACTGGTGACATCAAGGAATAGCAGTTAATGGAGGCCTATACAAGCAGGCCGAGCGCTGAAGGACAAACCCACACCGAAAAATAAAACCAAAGCGTAAAACGAGACAAATGAAGATCAAGGAAACAAAAACTACTAAGTGTTGTTACTGGGAAAGGGTGATCACGTTTAATATAAATTTGGTGGGACAAACACACGAAATCTTGTGAGCTAGCCGCACGTATCGCATAGCGAAAAGATCCACAAATATCAGTTCTGTACAATATTTCAATTTTACAACGTTTTTTTTTTTTAATTTTCCTTCATGCCTCCATTATTTTTGAAGTTCATAAATAAACTTTCATGAATAAACTTTATGTAATCTCAAAATACGACACTTGAATGCTAAGCGTGAATGATGTGAAAAACGACAAACAAAAACTTACGACAAGAGTGAAATGAAATTGCAAAAAAGAGGCTATGAATTTTAACCATAATTTGGCGTCCTAAAATTGAACAATTATTGTATTGCCAATGCACACTGGCACTGACGATACTGGCCAGATTTGACTTGGATCTTAAAGATTCCCAACCTAATGAACATAATGTAAATTCCCAACCTAATGGAAAATAGGTTTTTCGATAGAATGATTTGACGACGAAAAGGAGGATGAATAATTTGAAAGCGGAAGGAGCTCTCGAAACGAGGAATTTGAGCTTGAAAAGGCCAAAATGCGAACTATTAAAAATGTTCTTATACCGAATGAAAGATTTGGCCATTCCTGGTGATATTCGTTACTCAATTTTAATTCAGTATATTATCGACAAAAATCTGCTTTTCGGTGTAAGAATTATGAGCGAAAGAACGAAAGAAAGAAAGTGTACGACCTCGAGAGAACTAAGCGTAGTGATGACAAGCTGGTTTCAACCTTTAAGAAGAACGTAAAAATGTTATAACTGTGGTAAAAAATAAAATCACATATCGAATATGCTCAAATAGTAATTTCTCGACCAAGGAAGTTACTCTCACTAACGAAAAGTGCATTGCTCTCATTGACATTTTTAGTAAGTTCAACTTAGTCCACGAATATCTGTACGAAACGCTACAACGCGAACAAAATAAATTCAAAATAAATAAATTCAGATCGACAATTAGTTGCACAGTTGTACAGACAAATGGACGCTCAGACTGACATGGCCAAACCCACTGATCGTGATCAAGAATATACATATATCATAGGGTAGGAAACACCAACTTCCCCCATCCAACTTATTGTTTGCCGAAAACACTTTTTGATTATCTTGCGAATTTTTTTAATTTATCGTCGAAAATGCTTTTTAATTTAAATTTGTACACCTGCTACCATTGGGGTAAATGGGTATATTAGATTCTTTGGAAAGTATGTAACAGGTAGAAGGAAACGTTTCCGACCCTTCATTGTAAATATATTTAGGACACAGAAGCAGCACAAGTTTGTTTCCAAATGTTGCCACGCTCACTTTAACGCCCACAACCCTCTCAAAGTTTCCACGAACCTTTTTTTAAAATTAAAAAATTTTTTTTTCATATTTTTATTATTTTTGGTAATTTCTAAATATCCATACAATGGTAACGGATATCTGATAGTCGATATACTCGACTATAGCGTTGTTTTTTGGTATTAATGGAATAGTACGTAACAGAAAAAAAAGGCGTATAAGCCTTAATAACCAGGCAAACCCCTTTAGCGGTGATCCACTTAAATCGTTTCATGCTGAATTTTGTAGCTTAAAATCAGCAAACGTTAGAAGTGCTCGAATCTCTTTTCAAACCAAAAATAAGCGATGGCTCATTGTTTACTTTTATTTATTTTCGCGCCAACATTTCAAACATTCGTTTATTAATAAGAATAAGTTTAAAAAAATTATTTATAAAATAAATAGACCAAAAACCTACAATTTTATAGAATTAAAGTGAACTATTTGCCCAAAACCCCAAATTAATGGATATTGTAGAGCACCTGGGAATTGCTTCTGCTGAATGCTTATATGGCTGAATGTAAACCCATGCTATTTATCAGTATCAACAGCCGAGCCGATATGCATAACCTGTATGTTCGTTTCTATGTCTTACCTAAAGCTACATATTAGAATGAAACGTTACCAAAAATCTTATTTCTATTGCAGGGTAGATATATTCAGAAATTAAAAAAATATGTATCAATACAACATATGGTACAAATATATATACAAATATGTTACAAAACAATATACAATTCTGGTTTTATTTTCATTAATATCAGACCACTATATCGTCGCAAGATTAATTAGAAATATTTGCAAAAATCATAGTTTCGTTATTTTTTATTATAAAATGCTCTTATGCAATTTTCTTTAAAAATATAATTATCACAAGGGTATTTAAGCTTCTGCTTTTCGAATCAAGTTTACTTTTTTGTTGAGCTTCTCTTTGCGTCTTCCTCGGTTATTCGTTGTTGCGTCTTTTAAATTTTTAAATTCAATTGCTTAAGACTTGGGAGACGATAAAAGGGATAACGATCAAAATACTATGTGAGTAACAAAGATAAATAGGCGCAATATAGTGGTTTCAAGAAGAAGTACGCATTCTAGTTTGGCAATTCATTGCCAATATGTAATATAATATCGTTCTTACCTTGATAAAAATTGGAAGACAGTACCATAAAGCTACCATACGAAAAGACAAAAAATTAATACCCAATGAATGGAAAAGGAATCGTGGCTTCGATGTATATTTGATAATAAGCGTGCATTTGTACTGCCAGAGATATCCGTACTCTAGCTAGTTATCAAAGAATTCATCAACAAAAGGACTTATTGAAAAAAATTTTAATAGTGCATTATTGATTTGGGCGCCAAAAAAGTGAAACAGTGTCACAACATCTTTTAAAAGTGTTGGCGTGACAGTTAGTGCGGTTTGTGGGCGTTAAAGTGGGCGTGGCAGCATTTGGAAACCAATTTGCACTGCGTCTATGTCTCTGGGAGCTGCATTCTCAACATTCTAGCTTTTGTAGTTTCTGAGATCGTGGCGTTCATACGGACATGGCCAGATCGACTCGGCTATTGATCCTGATCAAGAATATATATACTTTATATGGTCAGAAACGTTTCTTTCTGCCTGTTACATACTTTTCAACGAATCTAGTTACTCTACGAGTAACGGGTATAAAAAACAATTGTGCGGGCGTGACAGTATTGGGCGTCAGAGTGGGCGTGGCCAAAATGTCAAAAACATATCGATAGGAAAAACAAAATAGTTTTTGATGGTTTTTCGGGGGCGGTGGGGGTGGCATTTTTATTTAATTTAGTTCTGCTTCACTTTATCATATTATAATTAGAATTCAATTAGACGTATTAGAATTAAAACTTACGAAATTAATTTTATAAATTTCAATAATAAAATAGAATACTCTTCTTTAAATCATTAAATCGTTTTAAATTATTAACTGGCTTTAGCTGACGGGCAGCTAGTGAGCTTTTCTTCTTTCCTCATAAATAAATTTGCATGTGTTAATATTATTTGCATGAAATGTTAAAATTAAAAATTAAGGCGGTAGATATAAGGCGGTTATTTTCTTGGTTCTTGTATCGTCAATATGAGTAACTTTATGATAAAAAGCCTTGACAGAGGGTCCTGCACATACTTGTGCATAATTGTGGGTCCTCTTTCCCATAGTTGGTGAACAGTTAAGTTAGGACACTAGTAGCTGTGTGACTAGCTTTCGTAGAAAGATACATAGAACTCTTCGAATCAGTAATGTTTCGCTCTCCTGGCTTCTTTTTTTTAATGTATAAGTATAAATAGAAGCGTCCTCAGCTCAAACACCTACAGTTTTATATTGATCGCACGTGTGAAAGGTTGGTTGCTTGTTATCAGAGCAACTGAGTAAGTGTCAGCATAGAAAAGTAAGGAATTGGTAGATTTGTTCTAAAAGTGTGCCTTTAGTTCGTAGCCGTGACCTGAGGGAAAATGTACTTTCATAGAAAAGTTACTGTCAATGAAAATGTCTACAAGCATACGTAAAGAACATAAGAAATAGTGGATACTTGCAAGATAAATGTTTGTAATGGAAGCCAAGTTATTACAATATTTAATCACTTGATCAAAAAAAACAAAAAAAAAAATATAATGCGTATTCTCAGTAATTACATCGAGAAAGCAAAACGAGGATATGAACACCATTCAATGTTCTTGGCGTTCAATGAACTCAACACATACAACCAAAACCCGACTGGTTCCCTGCCTCAGTAACTCAAAACTTGTTAAACCTCTTTTTATTTATTTATTTTTTTTTTAATTCTTCCATACGCTTCTTTCTTCTTGTTATAAATCGATTCTTTGTCGTAAATTGTCTGGAATCACAAAAAATTATATAAAATTAATGTGACACCAAATAAACAAACCGGTTCATATAAGCCTGATATACATAAACGGAAAAGAATGTATTCGGAAAAGAAAATAAGTTGACGAAAAAATATTTGTATGGTAATAAACAAAAGGAGTCACACTCTAGTATTCTAATTTGAATAGTCTTTTATGTCTAATCATAATTAAGTATTAATCATAATTAAGTATCAGGCGCACAAGCTTAATATAAATAATATAAAAATATCTTAATAATTTATTTCTTTATAGTTAAGAACTAAAGCAAAACGGATAAGCAGCCATGGTTTAGGATTTATATTACGTGAGTAAGACATACTTCCTTTTTTTCTTTGAACAACTGAATATTTTGTTGCTATATATTTATGTTTGTGTATAATATATATTTTTTCATTATTATAAATTAAGAAGATTAAAACTAATTCTAAAAAAACAATTTATTTTCGAGTAAATAACAGTCAATGCTTGTCTGGAAAAGACAAACCCAATAACTTTTTGCACTAGATGTATTTAATGAAAAAATAAAAGAGAACGCTATAGTCGAGTTTCTCAACTATTAGGTACCCGTTACTCAGTTAATGGAAATGCGAACGAGAATGTTAGGCAACGTTTTTGGCATAATCAGCACAAAAATAATACAATTAAAAAAAAAAAAAAGTGTGGACGTGGCGGTTATGGGCGGTATATGAGCATTACAGTCGGCGTGGCCTAAATTTGTTTAGCATATCAATAAAAATATAAAAAACAAATATAATTTAAAAATTTTAATCATTTTTCAAAAATGTGGGCGTTGTAGTATTGGGCGGTTTGTGGGCGTTGGAGTGGGCGTGTCAAAAAGTGTTTTGGCCAATCTGTTGAAATTTACAGGATATATTCAAAAGTGAAAAATATCAAAACATTTTTCAAAATTGTGAGCGTGACAGATTTAGGTGGTTTGTGGGCATTCGAGTGGACGTGGCAACATTGCAATAAACTTGCGCTGCGTCTATGCCTCTGGAACCTGCATGTTAAATTTCAACATTCTAGCTTTTGTAGTTCCTGAGATCGAGGCGTTCATACGGGCAGACGGACGGACAGACGGATATGGCCAGATCGACTATTGATCGTCGATCGGCTATTGATCCTGATCAAGAATATATATACTTTATATGGTCGGAAACGTCACCTTCTTCCTGTTACGTACTTTTCAACGAATTTAGTATACCCTCTTACTCTACGAGTAACGGGTATAAAAGTAAACAAAAATATGCGACACCTTTTATAAGGATCATCTCAGATAGCCAACTCATGACCAACTTCGGACGACGAGTTTTAATCACACTTCTCCTTGGTTTTGGGCTAATTTGCAGTTGTTGTGTTTTATAATAATAATGCGCCTCAATTTAGCAGCCACGAGGTGAAATCATGGGGAAAAGAAAAATTCTTAGGACACTAGAATAATCTAGTGTCTTTGCACAAACTGACTATGTAGACAGGAAAATTCCCATAGACGGAAAAAGCCCAATCTTGAAATAACAAAAGGAACTTTTGAACAAGAAACTTAAGAACAAAGCACATATAATACAATTCAAATATTACACTTATGCGTGTAAAAAAACGATCGTATTTTAAAGAAGATCTAACGCGCTATAGAAAAGGCAAATTAGGAATTCCATACGCAAAATCAAAATAACCATTTCTCTCCAATCTGTCCAAGGTATTACACTAGGTGTACCGGCCTATCAGAAGCACAAAGCATAGCATATTTTTGGCATTTCGACAGAAATTGGCAACAAAAATTATAAAATGAAAAAATCATCAAATTTTGCAAAGGTGCAACATTTGAGACGGTTTTGGGGTTTGAGTGGGTGTGGGTGTGACCAGGAAACAAAGTTGCGCTGCGTCTATGTCTCTGAAATCTTCATATCAATCTTTATCTCAACTTTGTAGCATTTATAGTTCCTGAGGTCAATTTGTTCATACGAGTGGACAAACGGACATTGATCCTGATCAAGAATATATATATATATAAGAATATATTATATATTTACGAATTCAGAGCGAGGGTTTAATAAAAAAACACACGATTGAGTTTTATGTTTTATTAAACCTTTTATTTATTCCATTTAAGGAAAGAACTAGAGCATTTTGATTATCACTAAGTTGGAAGTTTAAATTGGCTATAGCGGAGTTATCGCGGTTGAAAACGAGTGATAATTTACGAGGGGAACAACGTTTTCTGTTTCAGGGTGTATAATAGTTTCGTTTTCTGGGGTTTGATTTTTGAATTTTACAATTAATTTTTGGGGTATAGTTTTATATTTATAAATAAAGTACAATGCAACTAGTATGATTAATGCTGTAAGTGTTATTATTTGAAAGATATTATTCGTCTGATTGTGTTGTTCGATTATTTCTTTTGTGTGAATGTATTCTAGTGGTTCAAGTTTTGTTACGTTATTGTTTACATATATAGTTTGAGTATAATCTAACATTGTGTTGGTAATTACTATATCTTCTAATTGAACGGAACAATTAAATGTTTTTATCATGTTATTACCTTATATTAAAATTTTTCTAATAATACAATTTTGGCTTAAAATAGTCTTGGGAAGGTTCCAAGTTGTAATTATATTAGGTTCTACATATTTTATTTCAAAATCAGAATGTGTTTTACTGTATCTACATTGTGTTGAGAGTTCGTTAAGTATGCCTGTTATACATTTATTTATGACCAAGCTTTGGGAACTTGCTGTGTAAGTTTGATTATTTGATTATTATTGATTATATTGATTATTTAAAAAATATTTGTCATGTATTGTTTCAGTCAGTATGTTACTATTTTCGTCTGGGTATGGTATTATTTCAAAAACTGGTGTTTTAATTATTTCTCTCGGAAAGTGGGATATTATCAGAATTTCGTTCGTATCAGATTTAAGCCAAGCAGAAGTTTTGATATTAAGAATTTTTTCAGAATTGACGTGAGTTATTGAATCGTGTTTCAAAAATTTTGGGTTAAAGATACCTAAGCGTGTCAGTTGCAAACCAAGTTCTATGTCTTCTATGTATTCAGTGAATTGTTGTAGGTTGAAAATTACTAAGGCTAACATTTGTTCTCCTTCAAAGTTACTATTTAGATGATTGGTCAATTCAATTCATTTATTAATGGCTTCTATTACGTGGTTGAGTTTGCTTACTTGTACATTTTTTTTAGAGATGTCACCTATTTGTTGTTGTAATTCTTCTTTATCTTCTTGATCTAAAGTGCCGAATAAGTATGTGTACATTGTTCCTATAAAATTAGCGAGACGGCGTTTACTACGTTTTGCAATTCTTATACCGTTCATTTCTCTGTTGTCTTTCTGTTAGATACTGAATTTGTGGTAGAGTTTCAAAAATTTGAGCTTGCTTGATAAGTTCTTCATAAGTGTTTTCGGTTTTAGTTAAATTAACAGATAAGTAGTGATATTCATAGTTTATTGGTAAATCTAATGATCCGGTTTGAAAGATTAGGTAACCGTTTTTGGCCTGGATAGGTGTTATTTCTAAGTATTGTGTGTTAATTGTCGATAGGAGGCATAACATGAGTATCATGCTCGGGAGTAGGCCTGGATTTATCGTTATTATATTTACTTCTATTCATTTTCTTTTTAAACTTAGATTTATAGTGTATAGAGTTTGTTAATTTTGTTTACTTTATTTTTTTTGTGTGTTATAGAAAGGGGTTCCTGCAAAAATAAAGATGTCTGCTGGTGCAGGACCATTTGTGTTTTGTTTTGTTTTGTGATTGTATACGTAAAGTATTTTCTCTAATTTTGTGAATTGGTTTTCGGGTTTATTTTCACTTGATATTATTCTTAATTTTTCATTGACGGTTTTATGAAATGTCTCGATGTCAGAAATTCCATTTTTAATTGTTATATTTAAGGTTACTCCTTCTTAATCTAACCAGAGTTTAAATGCAATGCACATGAAAGCGGAGTCTTTGTCGGTTTTTATTTCTATGGGTTTACCCATGTCGTTGAATATACGTAAAATAGCTCTTTTAGCATCAAGCCAGTCTCTACTGTTTACTTCTATCAGGGGGGAGTATTTAGAATAAATGTCAATACATGATAGGAATTGTTTATTAAGTAGAAATCCATGACATAATATATTTGTCTCTGGGGTTGAAGGTTTCTGGGGTTGTTTCATTAGTTAATCTTGTGTTTCTATGTTCGGTTTTAGCGATGTTACAGATTTCACATTCGTTTTTGATGTTTTAGATAAGCTTTTGGTAATCGGGGTAATAATAAAGTTCTTTGAACTGAAGTGTTAGTTTTTCTATGCCAGGGTGTAAATATTCTTTATGTGTTTTAAGAATGATTTCTTTGAATTGGGCATATGTTTGAATGTCTATTAGTTTGCTACTGGTTTTCATGGTTTTAGTGAAATTGTCGAGACTTATGATTTGAATATAAGCATTTTGAAATATCTGAAAGTCGATTTCATTAGGGAAGTAAATTTTTTTTATTACAGAAGTATTCTTTAATTAAGTCTAAGGCGGACATGTAGTCATTATCTTTTGTGTTCATTATTGCTCCTTTTTCCAATTTAAGTGTCATGGGTTTTTTATTTTTGCAAAATTGGGAATGAACTTACGGTAGGATCCGCAGAATCCAAGGAAAGATTTTATTCCTTTTGTAGTTTTTGGGATAGGAAAATTAACAATTGCATTTATTTTGTTACGGTTTGGTTTTATAGATTCACTGATCGTAGCTTATCAAATACCCTTTTCAATGACATTAAGTGTTCCTCCAGTGAAGTGGAGTAAACGATAATATCAACTAAGTAGACTAAACAATCCTTATAGATTAAATCTTCTAAAAGATTGTTCATGCAACGTTGCTGGTTGCTGGTTCATTTTTCAAACCGAAGGGCATACGAAGGGAGTATATTCATAATGTCCATGTTTTGTTGAGAATGCGGTTTTGGGTATTGACTGTTGGTCCATTTGAATTTGATTGAAACCTTTACTAGATCAATAGTTGTGAAGTATTTACTGCGTCCAAGCTTGTCTAATATTTCATCCATTACGGGAATAGGAAATTTGTCATCAATGGTTATTTCATTGAGATTACGATAGTCTATGACTAATCGAAATTTTGGTTTGCCAGAAGCGTCGCTTTTCTTTGGGACAATCCAAATTGGAGAACAATAGGGGGATTTAGATTTCCTAATTATTTTTTGTTCTATCATTTTATTGATTTGTTTATTAAATCATTGGTAACCTTTGACTCATCTGTTTGGATGTGATCGTACCACATTTTAAATGGGTAGCCATTTATGTTGACTGTTTGTGTTGAATAGTTAATTTGAATGTTGGTTGACTCTAAATAGTTTCTGCCTAATAATAAATCATATTTTTCTGAGAAATTATGAATAAAAAATGTTCGTTTAGTCGGACAAAGTTAGCTTGAATGCAATGAAACGCTTTGGTTCAATACTATAGTGCCATTTATAGTGTGGACTTTCATTTTAGAGAATTTGATTGGGAAATAAAAGAAATTTTGTTTCATAATATTTGAGAGTAATATTATTGAATTTAATTTTTAAGAATGGATTACCTACTCCTCTGGATCGCTTTCTGATTCCGAGGCTGGTTGAAGAAAATTTTCGAAAATTTGTCCATTTTGTATTGGTCACTAGCACTTTCTCTCTGCCGTTTGACGGGAGGGTTTGGTGCCTTACTATTTTGTTGTGGGTAATTTAAAGGGTTCTGGGCTCTACCCTGATTTAGCTTTTGCTTAAATTCTTGCATAACCTGCTGGTTTGATACAATAGGTTTTGAATTATTGTTGGGATTTGATTTATTTGGGTTGTGCATAACATTATTCGCGAAATTTTGATAATTTCCTTTATTCTTAGAAGTTTGGGGTGGATTTGTGTTAGAATTTGAGTTATTTTGGTGTTTCGTTCGGTCATTGAAGGTTATTTCGTATACACCTTCTTGTTGTGCTATTTGTTTGAGTTTAGATACTGCCGTTATGTCATGTCTAGCAAGGGTCATAAATAACCTTTCGGGCAATTTTCTCATGATCACATCCTTAACTGTGTTGTTTAATGCATTTGTGTATAATAAGGTGTTGTTAATGTTATTTTCTAGCATAAGCTTATTTGATATTGTGAATGATTTAGTTTCTAATTCTTCGACTAACTTACGGATACTTCCGTTGAAGGGTGTATAGTAGAGGCGACGGAGTAATTCTTCACATGGTATTTGCGTTTTATATTCGCTGATGAGTGCGTTCATTAGAGTGGGCCAGGTTGTTGCTCCAGATAATTGTGACAATCGTTGAGCATCTCCTGCGAGCTGCATCTCTATTGCGCTGAAGAATACATGTTTTTGTCTGGGGTCCGTTGTTGAATACAGTTGGAGTATGAACTCTATCCTTCGTATAAAGGCACTGAGCTCTTGGGTGTCTCCACTGAATGAAGGTATTTGCCTAATTTGATTTAAGGCTTGATTCAAGTGGGATTCTGATAATAGTTGGATTTGTTCGGTTGCCATGGTTGATTTTTGTTTCTGTAGAGTTTTTTGGTTTTTTGTTTTTACACTTTTATTAATCGTATGCAGTAGGTTGACTATTGTGTGACAACCACCGATTATACGTAGTTCTTATGCGGATAAATAGAGTTTATTGTATTACGATTTACGTTCACTTAGCGCCGATTCGCGTGGTTCAATCATTAAAAGATACGCTTGGTCGTACAAGGATCTTTTGTCACTAGATTGATATTTGTAAACGAGTCGTACTTTCTTTTTCTTTTTATCCTACCGACTGCGCCATTTACAAATTCAGACCGAGGGTTAAAAAAAAAAAAAAACACACGATTGAGTTTTATGTTTTATTAAACCTTTTTATTTATTTCATTTAGGGAAAGAAGTAGAGCCTTGTGATTATTATTGGAAGTTTAAATTGGCTTTAGCGGAGTTATCGCGGTTGAACGTACTCAGTACTAAACTAATTGGTGTCCAAGGTTAATCGAAGGGCTCTTGTTCTATGATTACATTTTGTGCTTATACTTTAATATTTTGTGTTTATACATTAATGTGTGTATATGAGTTTATACTAGTGTATGTTGCTTATAATTATCTTATGGGGAGTTGTGGGTGTAAGAATGGATATGTTACAATATATTATATATATATAATATAGGGTCGGAAACGCTTTTTTCTACCTTCTATATACTTTTCAACGAATCTAGTATATCCATGTACTCCACGAGTTATAAAATCGTATTAATAGGAAGTCAATTAGGATTCCGCATGTTGCTGAACTACCTATATGATATAGTCATCCGATTTCGATAAATTTTAAGCCAAGATATTAACAATGTTAATAAGAAAGAATTATATTCAAAAGAACCGAAACTGCGATATCTTTCCTAATAATATATTATAGACCCATATTGAATAATTTAAATCCGAAATTAAATACTGCCAATAAACTAGTGCAATGATTTTTTCTCCTTTTATATTTTCTATTAATTTTCATATGGTTCGTGCATATCGTAGCTGCTACATGACTACCATAGTCCGACTTTTATAAAAATTTAAAAATTGGTGTAATAAAATTTAAAAATGTAAAAATTTTAAATATTCGTTTCAAATTACGCAGCTTAATGGTTTAAGCCATTCCAAAATGAAATTAATCACATTTTATTTTTGGAATTTCAGGTCGCTCTGCCTGTACATAATTTGTGTTTAGCAATTTAATTTACTTATATTGATCATCATAACTAACGTGTTCAGCAATATTTTAAGATTTCCATTATTTCATTTTAAAAATATCCATTCTTCAGATATCCTTATATTGATATATTATTATCTGACCATTTACTTTCTAAAATATCGTTTTCTAAATTATTACTTTTTTAAATCTTTTTTTATAATTCATTTCAAATTTCTTGTTTAAAATATTAACCTTGAGGTTATATTTTAATATATTTGGGTACATATGAAATTTTTAATAGAAGATACCGAATTTCCTGAAACTATTAGGCGTATTATAATAATTGGCTGGTTAGGTTTTTTTTTAACAAAACATTTTAAACAATCTTACACAATTATTTACACCATTCTTCTTAGTTAGGGGGCACTCACTGATGAGGTGATCCAACGCGCCACATCCATAACACGACCCAGGGAGTTCTCTTCGGCTTGACGCAGTCCTTTGGCCAGTCTCCCGTTGCAGTTGCAAAACCGCGTCTCCTTATTTATCGGGTCACTTTTTGCAGTTTGGCTCTTGCTCAGTCCAGCAGCCCTTGCCGAAAGCATTACGTCAGCAACTGAGTATCCTCATACCAGAATTTTCGAAAAACTGCTTGGCCTGGAGTAAACCAATTCTCAGTTGAAAATTCAAAACTGCCACGCACACACATTTGGAATATGTTTTGATATTTTTTCATTCTTTTGCTAGTCTTGTAAATTTCTATCGAATTGCCAAAAATATTTTTGCCACGTCCACTCTACCGCCCAAAACTGCCACGTTTGAAAAATGTTTTTATATTTTTTCTTTTTTATTAAAGTTGTACTTTTTTGCCAAGTTTGTAAAGCTTGCCTACTCTACAGCCCACAAACCGCCCAAAACTGCCACGCCCACACTTTTCATAGGCATTTAAATTGCTTTTCATTTTATTAATTTTTTCGCCATTTCTACCGACGTTCCAGAAAATGTTTAAATTTCTCGTTCGCACTTCCACTAGCTAAGTGACGGGTATCTGGTAGTCTGGCAACTCCACTATATTATTCTCTCTTGTTTTTGGTTTTTTTAACACAGCTGCATGTAGTCTAATTTTAATTAAATTAAAATTGAATTTTTATTATTTCGAAAGAATAATACTAGAAACCACAAGGTTACACATTTTTTCCATTTTCCCTAAGGCAGCAATATAACTACTAAAAAAAAAAGAGTTTGGCGAAAGTTCCATGCTGAGTGCTTTAAAGCTGAGGGACTAGTTTGTGTATGACGGACGGGTCTCATACTTCTTCTGACTGAAATCAATATATGTACATACCCTCTGCAAGGCAGTAAAAACTAATTTACGTTGCATATGCTTCCCTAGCATCCGCAACTTTCTGCCGTTTACATGGACAAGCAGATGAACGTTATTCTACGAGTAAGGGGTATGCAAATTTTTATAAGAGATATGTAGCATTTGGTTTGGAGTAATAATTTCTTATTTAATAATGTAGTAATGTACCACTGTTAGTAATACATTAATTACCTGTTTCTCTTTACATGTAAAGTGTAATACAATTGTATTGTCCTATAAAAGGTTTCAAAATGCAACTCAATGCCCCGTGTATGCTTGTGGTAAGTCATCTCCTGCATCCCATACATTACTTATGCCAACCCATTGCTGTTTCGTATTGTGTAACAGGTAGTCTTGGCAATAGCCGTAAAAGCCCACATTCGCATGGATAAACTGGAGGTCAATGTTGAATCGAACTACAAGCCTTCATTCATTCGTTCTGCGATAGAGAGCATTCCTTTGGATACTGACGCCAGACTCCTAGTCCGTAACAGTGCAAAACCTGAGTTTGGGGACGTTTTTCTACCGCTGCGGAGTGCTGTGGAGAGTATTCCAACGCCTTATCAAAGCAACACGTCTAAGCTGAGGCAGAACCCTGATATACGTTCCTTTGTACGTGATTCTATAGAGTCATTGCCAAATGTTGAAGATGGACTGGAACACATGGAGCTTTCCACAAATTATTCTAATGGTGTTAGCGATGATGTTGTAGGTGTAGACCTGAAAAGCAAAAAGTTAACACAAAATGTACATGTAGATCCCTGGAGCATTTCCGATAAGTACGCTTCATTTATTGACTCCGGAAACTTAGACGACATTTATCCGAAGTCATACCGAGCCGGCTCACCGCATCAGGAGTTGCTCAAAATGATGAACGTCGAACCGGTTAAGCACGTCGATAAACTTGATAGGTACGCAGAGCTGCAGTCTTACGGTGTATTAGGACAAAGTAACCTTCAGCAGTCCTATGGAGCTTTGGGATTGGTGAACAGGAATGACTTCAAAGTGACTACAAAAGTTCTTTGTTACATGTCGAACTGGGCATTTTATCGAAGTGGCGAAGGTCATTTTGTCCCTGAGCAGATTGACCCTAAACTCTGTTCTGCTATTATCTATTCGTTTGCCTCCTTAGATCCCGATCACCTTACCATTCGAGAATTCGATTCATGGGTGGACTTGGATAACCAATATTACCGTCGGGTGACATCGCTGGGAGTGCCAGTACTAATAGCCTTGGGTGGATGGACGGACTCCAGCGGCTCCAAGTACTCACGCTTAGTTAGTGACAAACTTAAACGACGTGTTTTTGCATCCAGTGTGAGCAGCTTTTTAATGCGTCATGGATTCAGCGGGCTGCACTTAGACTGGAACTACCCAAAGTGCTGGCAGAGCGATTGCTCAAGGGGACCTGCGACCGACAGGCCAAATCTGACCAAGCTTCTGCGTGAGCTGCGCACCGAGTTTCAGGGTGTTAATCCGAAATTTCAGTTGGGAGTAGCCATCTCTGGATACAAGGAGATTATAACAGAGGCTTATGATTTTCCCGCTTTGTCAGACATTGTAGACTATATGACAGTAATGACCTATGATTACCACGGAGCCTGGGAACAGAACACAGGTCATGTGAGTCCACTTTACGGCTTATCAACGGACACGTATCCGCAGTACAATACAAACTACACCATGCAGTTACTCCTAAAAATGGGCGCGCGCAGGGAAAAACTTGTATTGAGCATTCCGTTTTACGGCCAGAGTTTCACATTGGCACAAAAGCAGAAAATTCTTGTAGGCCCAGGCGTGGCAGCTACTGGACCTGGAGCGGCCGGTGAATTGACAAAGCAGCCAGGAATGCTAGCTTACTACGAGATTTGTCAGCGCCTAACAAAGTTCAAGTGGATGAGTGATCGGGATTTAAGCCTGAAATTCGGTCCTTATGCTATGCTAAACGACCAGTGGGTGGGATATGAAGATCCGACCAGTGCCCAAGCAAAGGCTCGATATGCGGCTAACAATAACTTTGCCGGAGTGGCAGCGTGGACCGTTGACCTTGATGACTTCCGAAACCTATGTTGTAGTGAATCTTATCCTTTACTTAGGGCCATTAACAGAGAATTGGGTCGCTTGGAGTCAAAGCCACCAGCTCATCCAAACTGTAAGCGTCCTACATTATTGGTCACTCCGATGCCGCCCCAAATGACAACAATTAGTAGCGATGGTTCTGGGGGATTGGGACAAAATCACGGTCATACAACTTCTTCGCTGAGCTGGGAGGACAGCAGTAGCCTCATGTTCAGCACTACAAAAAATCCGAATCTTGTAAGCACCACTGCTACTAGCATCATCCCCTGGTGGAGCTCAACTACGAAACGTCCCCGCGAGCCGACTATGACTACGGCACGACCAACTCCAACCACAATTCCCGTTCCAGCAGTGATCTACCCAGTGGTACAGCCCTCGAATTGCAAAAGCGGCGACTTCTACGCTGACTCAAATAATTGCAACGCTTACTATCACTGTGTTACTGCGGGAGAGTTGCGGCAACAGTTTTGTCCAGGCGGTCTTCACTGGAACAACGAGGCAAAGGGATGTGACTGGCCGTCGTCCGCCCGATGCTCACATAAACTCGATCAACACCTAAACACTTCTTATCCAAAACCAATTAAAACGTCTAAAAAGCCGGAGACAAAACCGTCTTCTGTGCATCATCAGGTCAGTAACTCTTCAAGCGGACCACAATATTTGCGTCCAACTATATTGGAGTGCAATGAAGGGGAGTACTACCCCCACAGAAACTGCAGGAAATACTACATCTGCGTTAATAAGGCACTGGTACCCAGTGAATGTGACAGAGGCTTGCAGTGGGACGGCATCAAAAAGCTTTGTGACTGGCCTGAGAACGTTCAGTGTGTAACAATCCAAAAATATTTTAAAATAATCCAATCGAGTAGCGCCAACGAAGAGGACCCTTGCAAAGGCGAAGAGCGAGTACCCTATCCGGGAAACTGTTCAAAATATCTCTTCTGCCTATGGAATCGCCTACAGGCTAGTGACTGTCCACCGGGGCTTCACTACAATGAAGTAATTGGGAACTGTGACTGGCCTTCAGCTGCGAAATGCGATCCAAAAGGAGGTGAGAGCAGCGGAGAGGCAGATATGAACGCTATGTCGAAGCCTCCTACTTCACAAGCCCCGAGTGGTCTTCCGCGTCCAACGTACCCCACAGAAAAACCCGTGCCTAAACCTCTTAGTAGCCACTACAAAGTTATTTGCTACTTTACGAACTGGGCCTGGTACCGCAAGGGAATAGGTCGCTATACTCCTGATGACATAAACACGGATCTGTGCACTCATATAATTTATGGGTTTGCAGTGTTAGACCATTCCGAACTAATACTACGAACACATGATTCTTGGGCCGATGTTGAAAACAGCTTTTATACGAGGGTCAGCAGCCTCAAAGGCAAGGGCATTAAGGTCAGCTTAGCACTTGGTGGATGGAACGATTCGCAAGGCGATAAGTACAGCCGCCTAGTTCGAAGTCCAGTGGCCCGGGCTCGTTTTGTGCGCCACGCCCTGGAGTTCATTGAAAAATACGGCTTCGAGGGCCTTGATTTAGACTGGGAGTACCCAGTGTGCTGGCAAACGGAGTGCCACAAGGGCTCTACCGCGGAAAAGGAGGGTTTTACTGCTTGGGTACAGGAGCTATCTGATGCGTTTCGCCCTCGAGGACTTTTGTTGTCCACTGCAGTCTCTCCTAGCAGGAAAATCATTGATGCCGGATACGACGTTCAAAAGCTCTCACGCTATTTTGATTGGATCGCTGTGATGACATATGATTTCCATGGGCACTGGGATAAGAAAACAGGGCATGTGGCACCTCTGTATCATCATCCCGATGATGACTTTGAACATTTTAACGTGGTAAGCATTGGAACTTTGAAGTAAAATACTGTTTTAACTCCTTATTTGGCAGAACTCTTCCATAAACTATTGGATAGAAAAAGGAGCACCATCACAAAAATTAGTAATGGGTATTCCGCTATATGGCCAGTCGTTCACTTTGGAAAACATTAACAGCAGTGGCTTAAATGCCAAAGCCCCAAGACCAGGTGAAGCTGGAGAATTCACCAGAGCAGCTGGCTTTCTTGCTTACTATGAGGTAAACTAATTTTTAAAAGTAACTAGTTTTTAAACATTTTCCACTTAATTCAAATAATTATAGAAAAAAAAAAGAGAGAAAGCTATAGTCGATTTCATCAACTATCAGATACCCGTTACATAGCTTGTATGCATTCAACATTTTGTTGCGTTACACGACTGGCATGGCCATCACACTGATACTGATCAAGAATATGTATACTGTATAGGAAACGTCAAATTATACCTTTAAAATTATCGTTTGCGGAAACCTTTTTTTTGTTATCTTCTGAATTTTTTAATTTAGGATCGAAAAACCTTTTAAAGTTAAATTTGAACACTCGTTTACTCGTAGAGTAAATTATTTCCAGGTCAACATTCCAACGTTTATGACATTTAGTCATAAAAGTCTTAAAATCATAATGTATAATAAGATGATTTAAAAAATAAATAGACAAAAAATCTACAATTTAATTAAATTAAGTACTCTCTATGAAAAGCAAGTTATAGCAAGTTCTGCACATAAATTGCTCAAAAAGTATAATTTATCTATAGATTCAAGATTTTAATATAGGGAAATGAAGAGGTGCAGCAACACAACACTTAGGTAGAGTGCTTTGTGAAGGGTACCAAAAGTAAATTTCATTAGAATTAATGAAGTTTTAATGATTTACTGAATTACAAAATCTTTAAAATCTTCCTAAATTGTAGTTCTATCCCGGGCTGAAACAAATAAGTGTCCTTAAACAAAATCACATCTATTTAATAATTAAGATTCTCTTTTTCTTAATTATTAAATAATTAAAAAGAGATTGCTTATAAAAAATAATTTGCAAATTATATAAAACATTAGAAAATATGAAAACACAGTTTTGCTTGGAAGGATGACTAGAACTTAAGTTATTAAACTGTTATGTTGATACAGTTCGTTTTAGTTGTAAGTTCGGTTCGTTTAGTTCGGTTGTGTTATATACAGTGGGGAGCAAAAGTGATTCCACGATCAACGTTTTCATGTTTGAGACCACATAAATATTATACGAATAATGTAAATGACAAAAATTTTTTTTTTTTTTTTTGAATACCTAGCTCTTTTTTTTAAAATTAGGTGTAAATAGCAAAATAGAAAAATAAGAAATTGAATAGTTATTATTTAAAAAGCAACACAAGCGGCTTGTACTCAGCTATGCACCATCCGTTATTAGCTCATATTTTTGATCTTCTCACTTTCTTATCAGCTAATATAAATGCAGATTTACTTTTAAGTGGCTTTTGCACTTATAATACGTTGTCAGAATGCAAAAAAACACTATCTTCGACAAGTTTATAGTTGATTTGTTGAATTTGGAACTTAGTCTTTATTTTTTCACTTAAAAATAAGGAAACTGTCTTCTGATAAAGAAGTTAGTATTATTTCCCTGACTAAAAGTGGGTGTTCGACCCTTACTATTGCTGACTAGCTGCAAATTAGTCAATCAGTGGTTGTTAAGGTCCAGAAAAGACAAAATGTTTGTGATGAAAATAAGTTGAATGCTCGCCGTCGCCTTCTAACAGACTCTGAGGCTCGACCTATGATGTCTAAAATGAGAAAAAATAGACCTTTAACGCCAAAAGATGCTTCTACACAAATAAATAAAGGCGTGAGTCCATGGACAGCTAGATGAGCGCTTAGTACGATTGAGTACATCGCAGCAGTGAAAAAAAAACAAACCACACTTTATCCGAGGAAATTGTTAAGGCTCGGCTAAAATTCGCATTGGAACATAAGAACTGGACAATAGAAGACTGGAAACGTGTTATCTGGTCGGACGAACCTAAATTTAATAGTTTTCAATCGGATGGAAAGCAATATTGTTGGCGGGGACCTGGTAACAACCTTTAAATTCATCATGTGAAGCAAACAGTGATACATTGAGGTGGCAAAATACTGGCATGGGGTATTTCACGTATTCGCACGTTAAACCGTTGCACAAAATTTACGGGATTATGCTAAAGGAAGACTATTTGAGCATTTTGCAAACCCATCCTCGAAATTTTCTTGACCAGTGTGCGTACCAAGAGCAGGAAATCACTTTTGAGCATGATAGAGATCCCAAGCACACTGCGAAAATTTTTAAAGAATGGCTCGGAAACCAAAATTTTAAGGTGATGGAGTGGCCAGCGCAAAGTCGGCACTTCAATCTGATTGAAAACCTATGGTCAATCGGCAGCTCAGACAGTAACAGTCAGCCCCATCCAGCTTGGACGATCTTTGGGTCGTGTAAAACAAGATTGAAATAATATTTCGAAAAGAATATTCAAAAAATTAGTTGAAAGTATGCCAAAACGTTTAACAAATGTCTTGGATATTAAGGGTCTCTGAACAAAATATTAATAATGCATTTATTTTGATTTTTTTTTTAAATGGTGCAAAACTGAGTACATGCCGCTTGTTTTTGTTTTTGAATTATTACTTTTCTATAGCTTCTTCAATTATTTAATTGCATACGCCTTTTTGTTAAAAATGAACTACTATTAAAAAAATATAAAAGTTGTATCATTTACTTCGTTCGTTTAGTTTTTATGTGCTCCCAAACATGAAAACTTTGATCGTGGAATCACTTTTGCTCCCCACTGTATTTCGATAAGCAGCTTATCTTGGAAGAGTGCACCGACTTCCAGCAATGTGGGCATGTGAGAAATGCGAGAGGATTAAACATTTTTCTGGCATATCGATTGAAATTGGGGCAACACTAATGATATGAAAATAAATAAATAAATATTTCAAAGTGTGGACATGACAGTTTTGGGCGGTTTACCTTTTTCAAAAGGCAGTTTTAGGCGGTTAGTGGAAGTTTGAGTGGGCGTGGCAATATTTGGAAACAGCTTGCGCTGCGTCTATGTCTCTGGATTCTGTATGCTAAACCTCCTCACCTTTCTAGCTTAAATACTCCCTGAGCTCTCGACGTTCATACGGACGGAGAGACAGACGGACGGACATGGCTAGATCGATTCGGCTATTGATCCTGATCAAGAATATATATATTTTATATGGTCGGAAACGTTTCCTTCAGCATGTTACATACTTTTCAACGAAAAAGTTACATAGAAAATGTTACATACCCTTTTACCAAAGACATTAGAAGAACTCGATGGGTAACGCCATACGATTTTCTTGCACACGTTTTTTTTATGCTGCCTCTAGATTGTTGGCTTCAGGCTGTCGAATTTTTGTGCAAGAACCAGGGAGAGATCGCTCTAGAGCCAGCATGCTGCAGCAGCTCTCTTGTACGCATATACGCGACAGTCGACCACTGCAGTGTGTATGTAATGTACGATTAAATATGCCCTTCACTTTAAAAGTTGATGGGCTTTAAGTCTATATTATTTTTGATCAATTGCCACCATGAAAAAAACTGCAATTTTTTCATTGTCTTAACATGATAATTATTCGAATACAAAATAGAAATGGGAATAGCTCAATATATGTACATAATACAACATAATCAATTTCATAAATTACTTACTATACTTGAAAGATTTTCGGCTGTGATTCTTAGGTGCTTGTGTGTTCGGCCACAAGAAATCAATTTTGAAATAAACAAGTTTCATATTTGTATGTAAATATCAATTTCTAAATATTTATTAAAATACTAAATAAATATTAATTTTTAAATATGAATTATTTTTATAAAATATATGTTATTCTTTTTAAAAATGTATGTATTACATTAACATAATAATATGGTGTTATGTGAATAAAATTAATCTTTTAAGCAAACTTATAAAATATTTACCTTTTAAGCATTGCGAGTAGACTTTGATAGCTGATAGACAAAATTCAGCTTTCTATCTCATAAATAAAAGAAAGGAGTCCAATGTTAAAAAATATTTAAATAATTAAAGACTGAAAATAGATATATATGTATTTATAAATTATATAGGAAAAAAAATATAATATAATTAAAAAAAAAAGACCAGAATATATCGAAGAGGGAAAGTTAGAAAACTAGCTTAGTTAGGGAACATGGAAAAAATTTATTGTTTAACATTTAAGTACTTCAAGTCGACTCGGACATATAAATATACGACCCCTTTACAATTGTAATGGCCTTTACAATTGTAATGGAAGAATAACACTTGTTATTCTAGTGTCTTTGTTTTTACTCTACGAGTAACAGGTATAACAATGCACAGTGGGAATTTTATTTCAAAACAAAAAATTACCCACAGCGAAGCACTATTGAAATAGGCTTTTAATATTTACTGTTTGTCTACATTGAATCATTCTTGTGGGCGTAGCCAACATGTTCCAAATTGGCCATTTAAAAAAGTAAAATAATATGAAAAGCTCTATATCTTTTTCAAACCGTTTGACATTACAGCTTTTGCAATTTGTGGGCGTAACAGTTTTGGGCATAAAAGTGCGCGTGGCAGCGTTTTAAAAAAGGTTTGCACGAAAGCCTCGGTTAGAGATCCTGGTTTAAAATGGTTTATACTTTAAATGGTCCCTCTTACGAGATGTGCTGAATCTGCACATCTATAAATATACAGCAATTAGCCGCTCATTGCATTTCCTAATTTATCCGAAAGCTAACTTTTGTATTGACCTGTATTGACCAAGCATTGTACTCTATTCCCTCAAATATGACAATTTTTCCTATACGTCTCCCGCCAAGTCTGGTCATATTTGGCATTCAAATTGACTTTGGAAAAGGGATTTCATATTTTGAGAGCAACGTCTTGCCAGTTGGTCAATGCCTTCAACGCCCTTACAAGCATATATATGTACCCTCGTATTATTGACTTCAATGATCAGATGCTGTTATCACTGCTACTACTACTGTTCAAACTGTTGCACCAAGTTCAGTCTCAGCCCTTAAACCGGTGCCATTCACCGCTAATTACTCTTAGTGCTTATTTATGTCCAGGCTTGTATTAAGTGGCTTTTGCACTTATAATACGTTGTCAGAATGCAAAAAAACACTATCTTCGACAAGTTTATAGTTGATTTGTTCAATTTGGAACTTAGTCTTTATTTTTTCA